GTCAGCATCAAAATTCTAGCTTTCAAGGCTGTTTCGGAGCAGTTCGGTGGAATTTTCTTGATTACTATGCTTTTCGAGCAACTTAGCGCAAAAAAACAAAAAAACTCCCAAGCATTTCCCCGAGGGTGAACATGGTTAAGTGCGAATACACGGGGTGATGCTATGAGGGGTATTTATTAATTCGCACTAGTATATTTATTATTCACACTATGGTGCCTTTATGGTGTAATGGTTCCTGGGAATCGCAATTTGATCACACGGGGAAGTTTACGTTAACTCACTGGCGAATGCCAACGAATTTTAACTTTACTCCCCCTCACGACCCGCTCTCGACGGAAGACTGAGAGAGAAGGCGGGCGCGCGAGAGAGAGGGGTGCGCGCGCAGCTGCAGCGAGCAAGGAGAGTGGAGGAGCAAGCGAAGGGGGAGGGGATATAAGGCGCGTTACTGACACCTATATCAGCGTCGCCTCCGTGGCTTATTCGGTAGAGCGTCGCGCTGCGGCCCGCCAAGTCCTCTTTCTTTTAAAGATAGAGAGAAGACTGCGGACGCCGCCGACGACGGTGGATGATTTGGGGTCACTTATAAAGTGTATTCACACTTCAAGTGTATCAAAATGCGCAATTTCAGCAGCTGTCTCACTCCTTACCAATGCATGTGTGTAGGCAGTACAGGCCCAGGTCGCAAGAGCCTCTTTTGCCTTACACATTAGCTTATTTCATTGTGATCAAAGATAGATTGGCTGCATATTTATTACAGGAGGATGTGTGCAAGTCATGTGTGCACAAGGTGTTGAGCAGTGTTTATGCTCAGATCCAGAGGTTTCCAACAGCAGGGTTTCCAGATTATCCGGTCACTAGATTCTGCGAAAAGGTGGCGAGATGGATCAAACATTTCAGCAAATGCGAAGTAGTTGAGAAAAATCATGAAAGCCGCCTTAGCCTACTGCCCTACGTTCAAGTTCTTTATTGATACAAGCTCTTATTAGTAGAATAAAATACACAACACTTGTTAGACTTGTTAGCAAGATGGCGCACATTTAAAAGTGTCGCATCCAGATATGATGCGGCAGTGGTATGTACGGCCCTCGAGAAGCTGGGCAGCACTTGCACACTAACTAAGCTCGGCGCCAAAGGCAAAACCAAAAATAAAGGTGAATATGGTCAGAAACACCAAAGCTCCTCCATTCCTTGTGTTACAGGAGTAGTGTACAAGATTCCTCAGTCATGCGCCAACAGTTATATTGGTCAGACTGGTAGGTGCATGTTGTATTACGGGGGCACCAGTAGAAATGCAAAAAGAATATTCGAATATCAAACTTGTTTGCTTATTGAACGCAGTGTCACTGAAAAGTACTGTTTAGCAATATCAGGGGTGCAACAGCCGAAATACTACTTGGAGGAATTTTAGGAGCAGCAAAATATTACTTTTGGAGCACTAAAATGTAAATTTCGAGCAGCTTACAGGGAAAAAAATTATGCAGTTTTCATCACTAGATACCATATTTTGAGCAGTATGAAAAAGAAGGCTTACATTTAGAAAAAAAATATCTATAAACCATTCGACATCACATAAATTGTGCAGTGCAAACATAAGCACTGCTATTTCGATGAAAGTGGTATTTTGAACCACCCCACTGAACCAACAATGATAATGTCCATATTATAATTTGATGTGCCCGTAAAATCATTTGACAGACTTAGCGAATTTAAATATGGATCTGCCAAACTTGCGACCATGAAATTAGGGAGATTCCTGAAACCGAAGAGCACAGGTGGTGGAAAAAAAAGAAAAAAAACTGGTGCATAAATTAGTTTGTTCTTTTAGAAAAGAAATGTCATACACTGCTCGAATTTATTTTCAGTAGCATATTTAGACATCAGTGATTACACTGATACTCATAATTGGGCAGCGTACAAACGCATGAGTAAGTGAACATTATGTGCAGTGTCCCGTGACTAGGGATAACAGCCCTTTCCAAATCTCATTACGCTTTTTCGCAAAGCCCCAGTGTAAATTGGCAAAAGCGGCCTATTCAGGATTCTCTGTACGGGTTAGAATCCCAAGCCAAGCAATTTTCTAATCACTACACCTTCCCTTCGCCAACTTCCCACCTTGTTTTTTTTTCTTTTTTTCCACCGTGGCGTTAGGTATCGCTTTGGCTCTCCCTTGAAGGCGCGTTCGACCAAATAAATTTACAACGGCGTGCACCCGTTGACCTAGCGACAGTACCGCAGATGTCCATCGCAAGGACAGTGGCCGGGACGAGGCAAATTCAAGACAAAAAAAAGAGGGGGGGGGGGCTCAGAGCTTTCAGTGAAATGGGGAGTGTCCAGTTTTTTTAAGCTTTATTCACAAACTGTGCGATATTTCACGGCCGCGATTGAAAGATGAATCAGTTTTCGAACTTACCAAGTTTTCGCCTGTAGATCAAAACAGCATTGGAAGGAAGTGACAGTGGCTATGGGCCCATCCTACAGACGTAATATATAAGCAAAGAACCCTGAGAGCTGAGGTCCAGATATTGTTTTCGAAAGGGGCGCCACCTTGATTAGAATGGGTCCCAGCGAGGCAAGTAGATGTAGTAGACCTATTTTCTGCTCCCCCATATACCATAGGAAAATATTGGAAGGGCAGAGGCACGGGCCTGGTGTGCCACCCCCTGGCTACGCTACTGGTGGATGGAAACCAGTGTGGCTGAGTACACACATAGAGAAGAAGAGCCGGGGAAGAGGGTGGAAGTGGCACAGGCTACTGTTAGGTTACCTTGGCGAGAGAAGTAGCTCTAACTGGAGCGGCACGTGTATGATGTAAGAAAGAAGGTTTCGTCCAACGTGCTGGCCGAACACACAAAAGCAACTGACAACAAAATAGACTGGAATAAGGTGAAATTACCAAAAATAAAGGGAACAGAATTGGACTTCTGGGCTATATCTAGAATCTCTTACAATTCGAACAACAACGGGACACATTCTTTAGTGTAATGACAATGACAGCAACTTCCCCCAGATATACACACCTACATCCTATATTAAAATATACATAATTGGACTGTTCGCACATTCAATTTTAGTTGTGAGCGTGGCTCCCGTACGGAAACTTCAATGTTCCGCTCTTATGTGAGCATTCATGGTCGGTGCTCATGTTAACCCCATAGTTGAATAACAACCACAACACAAACAGAGAGAGGAGACAGTGGCACTGCAAGCCGCCGTGAGAGTACCCTCACGTATGTAGCGCACTGTGGCATGCCGCCGGTAACTTTTGCTGTCTTTCCGGATTGTGAAGTCTGCAGAAGTCTGCACACAAGAAGCCAGAGCAAAACAACGCTGTTCGAAAATGAACACACTGCAAAGTCACGGTAAAGTCACACATGCAACTGCCAGCTTTCCTTTGCCAGTGCGAGGAGAGATCACGTGACCTAACCCTGCACGTCACAGCGATTGCAGCACTCGCACCTCCGGTGGTGAGCTTCACACCCAATATGTCAGGGAAACTGCATGACCAACCCTTGGTACACTGAACGGTGCCGCAAGCAATAGAGGAAGACAAGAGTGGTCGGTGCAGGGTGAATCAGTGGTTGAAAAGACAGTGACAAGAGACTTTTCGAAAACAATGAACCGTGGATTCTTGGCTCTCTAACGCATTTGTAAGTAGTGTAAATAAACATCTTGTGTTATATAGAAACCAAATGTCAAAGAATTGCTGAATCAAACACTTTTATAACACACTTTGTCCTGTTATGCAAGTTTTAGTTCATGTCAAACATTAGTTGGCAAAAAATTAGAGCTCACTCAAAGTCACTTATTCATACTTCGCGCCTGGGGCTCATTCTGACCCACCAAAGTTTTCTTAAACCAGACTCGCTCTGCCTCAAGCTTGCTAAAATATTACTCACCCTTGCTCACTCAAGCATATGGCTTAATTTGAGTATGAGCGAGTCTCGACTAAGTCAACTCATAAGTGAGTTGCTGACCTAGGGTGCCAAGTTAAGGAGACAATCACAGAGCGCCCAAACTTAATAGGCTAGTTTAAATTGATCGATCAGATACATACTACACAGACCGACTGACAGACAGATATGGTTAAGGTGCTTTTAGTTCGGTAAAAAATTCTCTACTTTAAAGAGCAAGTGACTACCAGGAGCTCAGCCCTTAAGGGAAGCGTCACTTTGAGACTTCAGCTTTTCTTGTTTCTATGAATAGAAAGCACTTATGAGACATTTTGAAACTTGCCACTATTTACTAGCCCTGGTGTCCAAGCGATAGCCGACACACTGCCCTAAACAAGCCTTGGAATGCAAACAACAGGTCAACAGCACGAGGAAAAAGGAATTACTTGTTATCAAGGCAGGACGACAACACTTGCTAGGCTAAAAAAAAGAAATAATTGGTAAGAAAAAATGGTAGCCGCGTATGAAATTAAATTATGCGCATGGGTTCAAAGAACAAAAGTGGGTGCTCGGACGAGCAGGCCAATGTTTCCGTAGAGCGACATGGCGCTCAACGGAACAAAGGATAGGTCTCTATAGCAACGTTGGCGTGCCTATCTGAGCAAGCTTGTGTTTCTTCAACCTCTATGTAAATAAAGATAGGAAGGTGAATGCATCGTAGCGAATAACAGGACGCCAGCGCTCTAGGGTAGAAAATTCCCCTTCATGGAAAGAATTCTGAAAAAGTCACTGTCGTCATTTCTATTGCTTTTTGGTCTCTTTTTTTGACATATTCTCTCATTTTGCATATCCGACCTGTTGTCGGAGCCCCTTGCTCATCGATGTTTTCTTATAACAGAAAACGGATATCCTGCATCAGAGCCCTCGTGCAATTTACGCTGGGGACAAGCACGACGTAATATTTAAAAAAAAGCCGATCCCACAGGAAGCACTCATGATGCACGTGAAAGAATGCGTCCATGTTCCCGAGCATATTTTCTAAGAACGGTAATTTTCGTGTACCAGGATATATAGTTTTACTAAGGAATGTTAGCATCCGGACTATTCAAGTGCCGTTTACCGAACCGGTGAATAAAAAGACCGGAATCGTCGATTTTCACACTCACATCTTCGACACAGAGCGAAATTTGGTGAGTCCGCATCAAACATTTGCTTCCTAGCAAAGGTATTGCCATCTGAGGAACAATTTCTATGTTGCAATCGTACTCTCAAAACATCCAGGATAATCCTTCAGTTCTAAGTCTTCTATAGCATATCGAGTCTACATGAAGCCTCATTTCTTCCGTATTTCAAATAAATGCTGCTATTTCCGATTGATTAATCTAAACCATCGTTTTTTTTTGTATTTTTAGCGGCCATATGAATGCAACAAGAAAGCCTATGTTGGGGCGATTTTGTTGGAATAATTGAGAGGTGAAAAAAGTGCCACACATAGCCTAGGCATTAATATATAATCTGAGAATTGTCTTTACCATTGAACAGCGCGAAATACGATTTTGCTCGGGAAACCACCAAGCCTACCAGCTTCTGTGATGTAGTTACACCTCGCTAACAAACCATCACAAAAATGAGACAACTAGTGGGGATAGCTGTGGCGCAGATAATCATACCTGGTTTATATTGAAATGTATTGCCAGTCTGTGATATCCATCACCCCTAAAACATAACAAAATAATAGGCACTCCGTGTTAGCTAGTACATGTACCTGAATATTGTATGCAATTTTTCAGCAAAAACATTTACTGGTTAAATGCCGCAAAAATATTTAGAGGGTGAATGTATATTGCGCTAAAACATTATGCTGTTTCTAAGAATGGGGAACACTGATCATATGAAAGCGGTAGCTGGAGAAAAGGCACAGATACAGCGATCTGATCACATTTAACATACGTTATAATGTGGCGGATTATGCTCTGTTTATTGGAGCTTTGAATTTGAAAGGTGTTGCCTCTCGCGAGAACAAATCATTTCAGAATTTACGCACTAAACCCAAAACCACATGAGTATTTTGAATTGCTGGCTTTGTACAGTATCATCGCATAATTTCCTTGTTATTGTACAATTTACCTCTTGCATATTATTTGAGGTCTCCATGTAGGTACTCCGAACGTCAAAAACAATTCATACGCACTATGTTTTCGGAAGCCTGTAACATATGTAGGAAACTTTGAAACGACCATTATTACATGTTTGACGTCTATTTTTGAACAGAACAAAGTTTCATCGGCCTTCCAAAAGAAGTGGTGGCTGTGCATTCTAGATACCATGGCGGAACGTATCGCTTCAATTCACCTTACTTTGGCTGTATTAATTGGTGAGTTCAAACTTTACGTTTTCAAGCGCTCATGGGGAGCACGCTTTCCTGGCTAATTGCTCAGAACCCATGCATTTTAAATGATCCAGGCTAAACTGAGACGGACGGACCGAAAAGTCCCACGAAGACACTGCTTTCGTACGTCAGTTTTCCAAGTTCTATGAGACTAATAAGCGTACAACGTTACCGATCTGGCAGGATGAATGCCACTCTGATGAACATACTACACTTACATTCTCGTTATTTAGGTGTCCATAATTTTTCGCGAGCTTTCTTCATAATTGTGACTAATAATTGAGAAGCAGCAGCAGCTAGCAATAATTAGGCAATATCTAAAATGTAATCGCAAACTTGAGCTACAAAACACAAATTGCACACATCTTCCTGTAAAGGAAAACTTGAGTAGTATGCGAAGCAGCCACGGGTCGACTTAAAGATCTGTGAAGAGGTGCTCTTTCTTCGTCATCGTAGACGATCATGATTAGCACGCCACCGCTTTGCTAGCCCTCGCGTACGTCGCACTCATGCTCTTGTCTTCATTTATACTACTATGCTATGTAAGAGAAAGAAAGAGGACTAGGGGCTTTTGTTATACAGAGCGGCGCAAAGCCACTAGCGGTCTCAACTCATACCAGAGCACGCGCAGGCATAGAGCGAGTGGTCTACCTAGTGGGCGCTTCAAGTACCAGCGTAGCTACAATGACCGACAAGGGACAAGCCCCGACAATAAGCTGCTTCGCACCTTAAAATTGCTGCGGGAAGAAGCAGTCTTTTGAACAGATTTATCGGTGCCACAACTATATATTTAGCGCTATATAAATGATAAGATTAAAACAGTAGAGATGTGATGACTAGACGCGGGATTTCGAGATGCCCAAAAGGCATGTTAACACTTAAAAAATTATAAACATAGGCGCAACAAATTGAAAAAGTCTACTAAATCAGTGTGTCTTAGGTCGTTTATTAATACGTGGTCGTCATTCGTTTCTTTCTTTTCTTCTGCCCACCTGTCCTTTCGCAGTCTCCGCCCTTTTGTCTTCATCGTTGTTCAGTTGTGGTTAGGTCAAGTGTGAGGAACACTATATCCCTCCAGCCATCTGTCTTCATCTTTCATGGGAGGTTACGGAAGAACTTTCCTATCAAAGGCTGTTCTATTTTTCCTCTAAAGTCTTGGTAGTACACAGTCTTCAAGGTTTCTAGTTGTATGGCCGCTTCAAGAACTGTGTATGGATTGGTGAATGGAGACATTGCATCCAGGCCTTTACGCACTGGAACCATGTCTCCAGGTGTGGTGTCCGGCATCCTCGACATGTACCAATTGTGAAAGTTTTTCTTCATGGTAGAATGGTACTTTTTCTGCTGTTCTTTTGACAATATTGTTTCTCGAAATGACACTTTCACGACGATGCTCAGTTCTTTATCAGCAGCAATCCATGCACTTGTTCCAAAAGCCGCAAATTGTGAATGGCATCCTATTCCGGCGGTGTAGAACCGATTGTGCTGTGCGACTGCGGCCTCGGGTGAACATTTTTAAACTCCTTTAAATTGTGGGTAGAGTTAAATGAACGTCTTCAGGTCTTGTATCACCCCCTCACAAAAGAATTATATTGCCTTCGGGGTGATAGGGTGCAGGGAAACGAAGCTCGACACCTTATTGCTTAGACAACATTCTCAGCTTGTCGCTTAGAAAAGCAGGCCCGTTATCATCGACCATAGTTTTCTTGTTTTTGAAGATGTTTCTTTCCAGTAGCTGAATGACAGAATTCACCTCCTCTCTTCTTCGCTTTGCAGCAACAAACCGCGTACATTCATCTACTGCCACAATAAATGCTTGTGTTTTCCTAACAACCTCGCGCTTCTTTTTTATCTCGGTGAAATCAAGGTGCACTAGTCCAAAGAAAACCTTTGAATAACAGGATTTTCGGGGCAAGACCATCTGATTGCCCCTTGGCTCAAACCAGGCTTTGCGTACCTGGCGTTCATGCCATGTTTTGACGTAGAGTGCAACATCCGCTTTCATGTTTTTTCATGTGAATCTTTGTGTAAGTTTCGGGAAAGTCCTCCAAAATCCATCATGACCACCTGATGCTACGCTGTTATAGTAAAGCCTAAGAATCAATGGCACACTTGTATGAAGTACATGCATGCCACAATTTTTACTTTGTATATCCTGTGCGTCCTTTCAGAATTTCATGAAGTTTACCCTATTTCAGTTGGAATCTCGTGCACCCATAAGCGTCTCGGTGTTTAAGTCACGGGCGATGTTAACCTCAAAACGGTGCTGCAGGATTCCTATTGTCTACCTCGCCGATTTCCTTTTAGGCTACGTCAGCTTAAGCAAGTGCGTCCTAGTGGTCCTTATTGAAAACAGAGCAATAAGAGAGTTCATATAAATTCATAATATTCTCTGTCCCGTACCCGCGCACCCGAAAATATAGCTGCTTTGTGCGCAGTGACCCTCGTTTGTATATTGGTATTTGTGACCACATTCTTCATCATACAAAAGAATCTAAACTGCGTGGCGATATGATTTGCACCTGTTGTCGGCATTCTTTGATCCAATAGCATAACAAGCGGTACTATTACCAACTCAAGTTTTGGCTCTGGGAGGTGAAGTAGGCGACACGTTTCGAAAACATATTCAGAACGGTTCTCTTGTTCCTGATTGTACGTGCCATGCCTTGAAAATCAGAACAAAGGATCTCTTTCCATGCACACCAGCGTTGTTCTTTCTGCGTTACTATTCAGAAATTGAACCATTTTTCAGGATTTGGCATATTGAGCACGCGATCCAAGTCTGAGCACCAACAGTTTGTTTTCGCGGGCGTATTCTAGTGGTCAAGCCATGTCATCATCATCATCATCATCATCAGCCTGACTACGTCCACTGCAGGACAAAGGCCTCTCCCATGTTCCGCCAGTTAACCCGGTCCTGTGCTTGCTGCTGCCAATTTATACCCGCAAACTTCTTAATCTCATCTGCCCACCTAACCTTCTGTCTCCCCCTAACCCGCTTCCCTTCTCTGGGAATCCAGTCAGTTACCCTTAATGACCAGCGGTTATCCTGTCTACGCGCTACATGCCCTGCCCATGTCCATTTCTTCTTCTTGATTTCAGCTATGATATCCTTAACCCCCGTTTGTTCCCTAATCCACTCTGCTCTCTTCTTGTCTCTTAAGGTTACACCTACCATTTTTCTTTCCATTGCTCGCTGCGTCGTCCTCAATTTAAGCTGAACCCTCTTTGTAAGTCTCCAGGTTTCTGCTCCGTAGCTAAGTACCGGCAAGATACAGCTGTTATATACCTTCCTCTTGAGGGATAGTGGCAAACTACCTGTCATAATTTGAGAGTGCTTGCCAAATGTGCTCCACCCCATTCTTATTCTTCTAGTTACTTCAGTCTCGTGGTTCGGCTCTGCGGTTATTACCTGCCCTAAGTAGACATAGTCTTTTACAACTTCAAGTGCACTATCACTTATCTCGAAGCGCTGCTCCTTGCCGAGGTTGTTGTACATTACTTTCGTTTTCTGCAGATTAATTTTAAGACCCACCTTTCTGCTCTCCTTGTCTAGCTCCGTAATCATGAGTTGCAATTCGTCCCCCGAGTTACTCAGCAATGCAATGTCATCGGCGAAGCGCAGGTTACTAAGGTATTCTCCATTGACTCTTATCCCTAACTGTTCCCATTCTAGGCTTCTGAAAACCTCCTGTAAGCACGCGGTAAATAGCATTGGGGAAATTGTGTCCCCCTGCCTTACACCCTTCTTGATTGGTATTCTGTTGCTTTCTTTATGAAGCACTATGGTAGCAGTTGATCCCCTGTAGATTTCTTCCAGAATGTTTATATATACTTCATCTACGCCCTGATTCCGCAGTGTTTGCATGACGGCTGATATTTCTACTGAATCAAACGCTTTCTCGTAATCTATGAAGGCTATGTATAGGGGTTGGTTATACTCTGAGCATTTCTCTATTACCTGATTGATAGTATGAATGTGGTCAATTGTTGAGTAGCCTGTTCGAAATCCTGCTTGTTCCTTTGGTTGATTGAATTCTAATGTTTTCTTTACTCTGTTAGCAATTACCTTTGTAAATAGCTTGTATACTACAGAGAGCAAGCTGATCGGCCTGTAATTCTTCAAGTCCTTGTCATCTCCTTTCTTATGTATTAAGATGATGTTAGCGTTCTTCCAAGACTCTGGTACTCTTCCCGTCAGGAGACACCTCGTAAACAGGGTGGCTAGTTTTTCTAACACAATCTGTCCTCCATCTTTCAGCAGATCTGATGTTACCTGATCCTCACCAGCAGCTTTGCCCCTTTGCATGCTCTCCAAAGCTTTCCTGACTTCTTCTATCATTACTGGTGGGGTGTAATCTGGGTTACTGCTAGTTCTTATAGTATTAAGGCCGTGGTTGTCACGGCTACTGTACAGATCTCTGTAAAACTCCTCTGCTATTTTAACTATCCTATCCATATTGGTAGTTATTTTGCCTTCTTTGTCCCTTAGTGCATACATCCGACTTTTGCCTATCCCAAGTTTCCTCTTCAATGCTTTGACACTTCCTCCGTTTTTCAGAGCGTGTTCAATTCTCTCCATGTTATACCTTCTTACATCGCATACCTTACGTCTATTAATCAACTTCGAAAGCTCTGCCAGTTCTATTTTGTCTGTTGTACTTGACACTTTCATGATTTGACGCTTCTTAATTAGGTTCTTCGTTTCCTGGGAAAGCTTGCCAGTGTCTTGTCTAACTACCCTGCCTCCAACTTCCACTGCACACTCCGTAATGATACTCGTTAGATTATCATTCATTGTATCTACGCTAAGGTTCGTTTCCTCACTAAGAGCCGAGTACCTGTTCTGCAGCGACACTCTGAATTCCTGTACTTTCCCTCTCAGTGCTACCTGATTGATTGGCTTCTTGCGTATCAGTTTCTGTCGTTCCTTCTTCAAGTCTAGGCGAATTCGAGACCGTACTATTCTATGGTCACTGCATCGT